CTGGATTGTGGTTGCCACCGATTACTTGACCAGATACTGCGAAACACAAGCCGCCCAGCGAGCAACTGCTTCCGAGGTGGCTGACTTTTTCATCAAGCACATCGTTCTCCGCCACGGTGCTCCCGCTGTCGTCATCACAGATCGTGGTACAGCTTTTACGGCACAGTTGCTCCGACAGATCCTGTCGCTGAGCGGCACGACACAACGAACAGCAACTGCGTACCACCCACAGACTAACGGGTTAACCGAACGTCTTAACAAAACGATTGCAGATATGCTTTCGATGTATGTCGCCAAGGATCAGAAGAATTGGGATGAAGTCCTCCCGTATATAACATTTGCCTACAATACGGCTTTGCAGGAAACCACCGGCTTTGCTCCTTTTCGTCTGGTTTACGGCCGCGACGTCACCACAATGCTTGACACCATGCTGCAACCAACTCTGCCGGACACGATTACCCCGGACGCAGATGTATTTGTTCAGCGTGCCGAAGACGCCCGGCAGCTGGCGCGCTTTCGCATTTTATCGCGGCAAAATCGAGATGCTCGCCGGTACAACGCCCACCACGGAGCAGTAATATACGAACCCGGTGACCTAGTCTGGGTTTGGACTCCTACACGTCAACGTGGACGCTCAGAAAAATTGTTATGTCGGTACTTCAGACCCTACCGAGTTCTTCATCACCTCGGCGAAGTGAACTACGAAGTTGTCCCAGCAGACACGTCACACCGTTCTCGCAGACCCCGCTCCTCGGATGTGGTTCACGTCTCCAGGATGAAGCCGTACTATTCTCGTTGACTGCAACACAAGAACTTTGTGATGTGGCAATATCCTTCAAGACAATTGCACATTACTTTCTTGCCTCTTTATTTTTCATCTCGTCCTTTTTCTTTTCAATGGACACAGACATTTCTTACTGCCTTTCGTTGTTTTTCGGAGCCATGGCATTCATTCGATGCATCTTCTTCTTCTTTTTTCGTTGGGGAGAGGGTAATGCCACGCTGTGTTGGTAGCAGAAGACGAGAGCGAAGAAGTCAATGGCAGCTGTGGCTGAGTAAACAGTCCTCTACTTCGAGTTCCTGCCTATCGTTTCATCTCGCGACAATATATATATATATATATATATATATATATATATATATATATATATATATATATATATATATATATATATATATATATATATATATATATATATATATATATATATATTGAAGCCATTGAAATTTTCATGGGGGGGGGGATCGGTGTGCGCGCGTGCAGCAGCTGAATTTATGTTGCTCAGCCTCGGCATATTCAGCTAAAACGATCACCTGTATTTTGTGCAACATTATGTTGTGATTTATTCATTAATAAAGTCGCTTTCAAAAGATCATGATCAGCATGATTATTTGTGTCTTACACCATAAATTATGTATAAAGTATACGCGTTAATCTATGCATGTCCAGATTTATCAGATTGATTGATATGTAGGGTTTAACGTCCCAAAACCCCCATTTGATTATGAGAGACGCCGTAGTGGAGGGCTCCGGAAATTTTGACCACCTGGGGTTCTTTAACGTGCACCCAAATCTGAGCACACGGGCCTACAACATTTCCGCCTCCATCGGAAATGCAGCCGCCGCAGCCGGGATTTGAACCCGCGACCTGCGGGTCAGCAGCCGAGTATCTTAGCCACTAGACCACCGCGGCGGGGCTCCAGATTTATCAGAAGTGAACTGTTGTGTTCTATATGAACCTTGAAACCGACCCGTAAAATAGTTTATATGAAGCTTGAATATACCCAAGCTTCGTAAAAACTATTTCACGGATGGGTTTAAGTGAGTGCCTCCATTTTGAACTGTTAAAGGGACACTAAAGGCAACTATCAAGTCGACGTTGATTGTTGAAATAGTTGTCCATAAACCTCGTAAACTTTTGTGTCAAAAAAGAGCTTATTTTGACGCGTTTAAGTGGTCCGCATCGGGTTAGCACACTTCAAATTACCCGCCTCAAGAAGTGGTACGTCTCACATCATTGTTGCCGTGCAAAACGTTGCCCGGTGTGGTGGTTACAGGACGTTCGTCACTATGTTTGTTGATAGCGGACGAGAAAGGATTAACATAAACTTTTTTTTATTTCATGGCATGGGTGGAACGGCTGACGACGCACGGATACGCTACCGTGTGCAGCGCCGTTGAGTCGGACGTCGCGGCCAACCCAGCAGTCAGGGTCGCAACTCCTGAGGTCCAGGATCAGTCCACGGCTCCCGAGAACCACGCCCGGTAGGCCTCGCCCACGAACCTGCTCCTGGCCACTGCACCCAGGCGGGAGCCGTTCGGCAGGTCTCGGCCTTGGACCTTGAACAGACACACCGGAGCTCGACCTGGCCGACACGTACGGGTCTCACGTCCGGCTCAGGAACGCTGCCAGGAACTCGTCCTCTCGAGCGGCGCACCGCTTCCTCTGCCTTCCTGGCCTCAACCCTCGAGCTCTCTTTTCGGCACGTTCCTTCTTCTTGGCCAGGGCACCGCCAGGTACCCTCGGGTGCACACTGCAGCTCATGAGCTCGCGGCTCACGTCCGAGTCTGGCGCGTCGCTCGGTACGGCTCGGCACCGCTCGGCGATCCTCGATTCAGCCAGAACTCCCCTGGCGTCTGAATCCTCGGCCACCCTGAATTCTCGCCCGGCTCCGTGCTCCTCTGTGTGCACTCGCGCGTCTCGCCCGGCAGAACATCTCGCTCGTCCCTTGCCGAAGTGCGACGCTCTGGTGACACCGGCGCTTGATGGCGTGGGTGCGGCCACGGAGCAGTCAACCCGCATCGGAGACGCAATGCTCGATGCGGGGCATGGCCAGCCCGTCCAGCGAAGAGCGTGTGCCGAGACGCGATGCTCGACGCAACCGTGACCATTAGCCAGGCCACGTTCATCGCTGTGTCGAACGGCTGACCGTGGAGACGCCTCGCCGAGATCCGCGATACCCTCGGCAAGGAAGAGAACAGCAGGCCAGGCCGCGCCCCGAGATGCAGTACTCGTGCCGGCAACGCCGCCCCAGCTGGTAGTTGGACGGCAGTAGCGTGGACGGCCGCGTTCCCTGGCCGGAACCAGGATCGCCTGCGTCCGACGCTTCGGCCCGCTGTCTCCCGTCTGCCGCTGCTTCGGCTCGTCCCCAGCCACAAAGCCCACTGCCACGTGATGGTCGCCCGTGGCCCAATCGTGGCACGCCACCTCTATGGGCCACCACAGGTCATCAGCTGATTCGCTGACACCCACGCGCACATTACACGCGCCTTGCCCCACACTTCCGTCGTCGTCGTTTTCTTCGCTCATCACACCCGGCTTTACTGCGCGGCCGCCGACACTAGTAGCAGCAGAACGAAAGCTGCGGGAGCCAGAGCAGCAACAACGGCATTGATCAATTTCCTGTAATTGGCTCCGAGATGGCAAACGAGTTTTGGTTCAACTGGGCCCCACTAGATGGCACGATCTGTCCAGTTTAACTAAGGTTCAAGCACTTGAAAATTGAATTTTCGAACCACTCGCGCTATTCTTCGAAATAACGTCCGGCGGTTCTTTTTTACACGAATCAAACAGAAACGAACAAGCAGCGTTTTATTGCGTCTCTTGATGCATGGAGAGTTCTTTATTTAGCGTAGCTAGATCTATTACTAGTGACTAATTGTAGGTGGTTGATCTGACGTCATCGGGAACATTTTGAGAATGTCCTACTGTGGTGCATGTATTCGTGTGTATTTTAATTTCTCGGTAAGTAGGGCACTGCCGTTGATAATATTGTCGTTTTAGATGTTGTCATACAATGAGCTTTCACTCTGACGTAAATTGTTATTTGATTTTAGTGCCCCTTTAATCTTTGTGTTTTGCATCCTTGAAGACTGAACGAACAATGTTAGTATGTTGCGATAGACGCATAGGAACGCAAATTGATGGGTTGGTGCATGCGATGTTTCATGGCCTTATTAATTCACGTCACAATATGTAAAAACAAGAAGACATTGGCACCCAAGACGCCGGCGCCCATGCGTCTTAGATAGTGTATGTGTGATACGCTGAAGTGACCATTAATTTTTCCTTCCCATGGATTAGCACTGTATCAGTGAGGGAACGAAACAACTTTACCCGGGTTGCAATAGGTGTAACTCAACGTCAAAAATTTGTAAATGACTCTCTGCGTTCATGAACAGGTACCCGCGAAACATAAATTAAGCCGCTTACTTAAAGAACGTCTTGAACGGCTGGCTGCAGGAAAAGCTAATAAATGTCCTGGTCAAGACATTCTGTAGCCGTAAATGACTATCAAACGCTCCGTTAACCCTGGGAATGTCACGCTAAATATTAGCAAAAAAAAAATGTCATGACAAGAGCAAGTTATTTCGCAACTTGCGTCATTACAAATATTAAAAAAAAAGCTATTATGACCGTCTTTGCAGCATGTTTGATTGGCAGCTTGACGGCTGCGATAAGCAGTTAAGAATGAGGGGACTGAAGAGAGCTCCCCCCCCCCCCCTTGTTTTTCTCAACTGTTGTGCAACAAGGTTCTAGTTGATTATAACCATAGTGCAAGCGACCAATAAAATCAAGTAACAAGTCAACATTTCGCGCGCTTGTGTGTTTCCGTAAGCCTTGATTCTTTAAGTCCCTGCTTCTAGCGCGCTTCAACCATTCGCAAAAAATAGAGCATGAGTAATTCGGTGTTTAGTCTAAAGTAAAGGCTTGGAAGTTTATCAATGCACACGTTAAAAAAAACAAAAAACAAGGCATGTTAGGTGCTTTCGTTCATGCCTCTTGTAGTACATATTTGGCACCTCTTGTTTGCCTCTTTATAAACTGGTTGCATAATTGTGTTGATTTGTTTTTTTTAACGCAGCAGCAATCGTCATATTGAAATTAATATTTGCATCCCATGCTTTTGAGTCATTCCTTTTGTTACAGTGAACTGTACTTTTGTGCATCTTTTGCGTCGGTGACAGTGAACTCGGCTAGCGCATAGAGCCAATCCAAGACAATAACAACCGGCTACGCAAACCGAAAATATCGAAAATTTGTTATCAAGCGGATCCACCTATTCACTTCCCGTCAAGAGGCCGGTGTGTGGGTGGGAACAACTTTATTCCTGATTCCGGTGCACGCGTACCTTGTTGCTTTCAACTTCGTTATCTCAATAATACCCTCATGCCGGTAAGTGGTCAAAATGTTTATACTGTGCCTTACTATGCTGAATGAGTCTTCACCCCAAGAATAGCTGAAATTTGTACTAGTTTTCTACTTTGACTGATACAGGGTGCTCCGCATATTTAGGGCCGTATTTCGTTGCATATCTTTGGAGAACTCTGTGCTATCTGTCAGGTTGGCCTGTATCACTGGAAAGAGCATCTTGGTGCTTTACTTCGTGCGGGGCCGGACTGTCGGCCCTCATCGGCCGCCCTTTTATAAACAAGTGCTGCGAGAACTTGCCCCTCGCGAATTGTTTTCAAAGTTGCGTGTTGTACCAGTGATGCGTGATACACACACAGGATCAAGTGACCCGTGAGAAGGACAAAGCTGTGGCGCGGTTGGCTGAATAAGCGATTACTCATTCCGTGTAGGGCGGCGTGCTAGTTGCGCGTCTCCGCCGAAAGCACCCTCGCCGTGTCTGAGCAGTTGGAAACAGGCACCGCATTGCAGTTAGCTTGTCATCGCGTGAGCCCTTTTTACGCCGGACTTTTGCGAAGATGGATATAGAGGGATGGATGAAAAATTGCACGGTGCGTAATACTGCGATTGCTTCACTGTTTGATATTTCCGCAGGAGCGCTTTAAATAGTTGCCCTTTGGCCGGGAAAGTACTACTGGTTCTCTTGAACATTTTATGCAGGTCATGTTTCTCTTCATTGCCGATAACTGATTCTGCATAACCATGCTTTCAAGTAGTTTGGCGCTTATTTTCCGCCAGATTGTGAACAACATGGCAATGAAAGAAGATTCTATAGAAGCGCCGCCTTCTGCTGTACAGTGACGCCTTGTCCAGTTCACTCATCCACACATCCAACTACGTCTAGACGTAAAGGGAACAAACGCCGCAATTGCTGTTTTAAATCTTTGAACATATATTTTTCACAGTATTGCTCATTCAGCTGCTGTTTGGGCACTTAATTGCTGGGTATCTTTCTCCCGATAATGTTGTCAGCCATGCCTTGCATCAGTTTCGTTCCCCCTGCCTTTTTCTCTGCTTTTACTAATACATGAGCAGGTCCTGGCTGATGTTTTATCACTGAGACCATTATAGGGCATCATTGCAGCTGTTTTGTGTGAGTCAAGATCTCCTGAAACAAGGGTCATGCAGTTTTAGTGATTTTAAACTAACACTGTGTGTCATGGTATGCATCGTATTGACATGGTATTAATATAGTATGCATCATAATGTAGGCCTACCACTCCCAATTTACAAATGGGTCAGCAGGATTGGTGGGCAATATGGCCATTCTTCCCATCAGGTCTCAGTACAGGGGCCCAGCACCGAAGAGCTGTGAGTACCACTTCTTAAAGTGTCTTTCCCTTCTCGGGTATTTTGGGAGGACCCTCAAGCAACGTTTACATTTATGCATGAATACATTGGATTTGTAGGCAAGGTTTTTGAGAACGTCAAGGGTTGCATTTACATGACCTGCATAAATAGCGTAATTTATGAAAGAAGGATTTTAAAGATCTTGCATTCCTACTGACCAGAGTGACGACTCAATCTAGCAGTCTGATCAGTTACTGACTCGAATCACTGAGAATACCTTAAACACACTTTCGTTACTGTTGTGTTTAATGGACATGTGTGCACATAGTGGATTATTCTTTAATGCAGTGGCACACCTCTGCCTTAGAATGCATGCTGCATGCTGTTATTACTTTGCATGCATGCATTAGTACATGCGTCCAAAGTGGAGCACTGAATTTCTGCAGAAAAATTGGCTTATTGGGGGAAACACGTACAAAATGCATTGAGAAAGAGGAGAGTCCTTAAAGGTTAATTGTTGTGCACTAAGAACAGATGTCAGTGGATTGCAGAGAACTTGCTCTGAGTTATGATTTGGTAGTTTAGCACCCGATTACGCTCAGTCAACCTCTGGTGGGAAGACTCACATGCACCCGTACCTGACAACTGTCCCCACTTTTTCATAATGCTTATTGCTGTGCAAATTTTGCTCTAAGTTTGGCAAAAAAAAAAACCTAATTGCAAGAGTGTTTTGTTTGTGGGTCCCCAACTACACTCTTGGAAGTGTCGATCTCATAGTGAAGGAACACAGTATTGCTTACTATGATAACTTTGAAGACAAGGTGCGGCAATGCTAAGCTGAAGAATGTAAGTGCAGATCCCGGCTACAGCAGCTGCATTTCAATGAAGGCAACATGAAAGAACACTTTTGTGCCTAGATTGAGTAATCGAATGGTCAAAAAAACCTCAAGTGCCCTAAATCACAGTGGGTCAGAACTAATCCAGGGTCCCCTGCTACGGTGAGCCTCGTGCCAATATCTTTGTTTTGGCTCGTAGAACCCTGTAATTTTGTTGTTCATAAGTTTCGTGAACTGTTAGATTAATATTGTGTATGGTTTGGTTAAGCGGAAATAGAAGCCCTATAGGGCTAAAAAGAAATACCTCACTTCTAAATACATGCAGCATCCACATATGACCCATGTGAGAATTGATCTTGTGGTTCTCACTGCATTTTTTAAAAATACCGAACATATTTTGTACGTAATTCTTTTTTTGTCATTGCCTGTCACAAAAGAAAATGAGTGGCAAAGTCACATGTCTTATGTTTTCCTTTTCAGCCGATGAGACTGACATTATTGATGAAGCACTGTATTATTTCAAAGCCAATGTTTTCTTTCGAACGTATGAAATAAAGGTGAGTATACAGCTCCTGAAAAGGCTCGGTTTGATTATCAGACACCTGTAAAGAACCTCCAACAATGCACTATACAGCAGAATCTTGTTCATGTGTTCCTCTTCATGATTTTCAGAGTGTAAGCGTTAGTGATAATGTTATCAAGCAAAACTAGACTATGTTCCAAGGAACTTGTTTTGTGCGTCTTCCTAGGTAGTAAGCCTATTCCACTTTTTTTTTAATCAAATGTATAAAAGGTTTTCTTAGTATGTCAGTGTTCAATCTTCACCTGGAGATTTCATTTTGCAGATTAGTACTTTTTTTGCTGGGATTAATTACTACTTCATTTCAATTTATGAAAACCACCCAAATTATCTAAACCACCATCACCACAACTTTATAAGCCGCATTGGCATGAAAAGTGCAGTGACACATTTGAATACCCTGTACCAAGTTCTGACATGATTTAAAGGCCCCTGCAACACCTTCAGAAAACATTGCCGATTTGTTGTCGAGGCTCCTAAAAACATGCAAGCCAAACATTGTAGCATGGTACGGGGCTTAGAATGTACAATTCTCAAAGTCAACTAGAAATCGCTCCTCTTCTCTCTACATATGATGCCCATGTCCCCAGTGGTTGACTGATTTGAGCTTTGTCAACTGCATAGTGACCCTGGCCACCTAGGCATGACCACCTAGTACTTCACTCACAAACGCACTGCATATTTGCAGGGTATTTGTAAAGGAAATTGTTCGAAGAAAAATAAGAAAAGAAAGTGCTCTAGGTAATGATGCGCACCGACGAAGAGACACATCTTCTTGCCCCTTTGTCATCCCCCTCCTTGCATAGTTTTCATCTTGCTCGCTGGCACAAAAAAAAAGAGAAACTGCTTGAAGCATGTGACACATTCCTGTAACTGTATGCGATGGCTTCTTATGATGCTTGCTACATGTGATTTGTGTACCATCATGCGCTAACACAGTAAAAGCTCGCTTATTTAAGTTCAGTTTTTTTGAGCTTGCAGTTAATTTGAAGTGACACCTTGGTCTGAACATGCCTTGGCTGTTTTAGACATGCATACTATATTTGCATCATTATAGCATGCCCCAGATTGCAGCATGCTAGTAGTTCTACATAAGGAAATCGAAAACGATCACCTGATGCTGATTTTGCTTTTGAGCTCGAATGTGCCGTACACACAAATCTGAGGGCTATCTTTAGCGAAAAAAAGTGCATGTTTTTATAATTGTGTGTATATGGTGAGCACCCTGCTGTAATGAAGCATCTGTTACTATACTTTCAAATTACGACCATTATAGTGAGATTTATTTTTGCACGTCCCTCATTGTGCACAATTAGTGTCCAGGTAGAGGCCAATGATTGCCATGCCAGCTGTTGCGGGGTGGCTCTGATTGCAAATGAACTTTCGCTTGTGGACATAGTAGCTCTGCATGCATGTTTATTGGGTCTTTTTAAAGACGATAGTCTTTCTTGGGGACCTTCGACAAAAAAAATTTTGGTCTGTCTGTCTGTTCATTTGTCTGTTTGTCTGCTCTTAACGATACCTCAAATGGCCGACCCCATCCGCAGCGCCCACCAGTATTGCTCAAGATTCAGCGTTCATACTTGTGCAATTGTCATTTAAAAAGCAATCATTGTGCATATCTGAGGTACCATAACAACACGTCGATGTTTTGTATGTGCGCCTTTATACTAGATAAGGCACACACAAGTAATCTTAAGGGCCACAGCGTTAAACACTCTACGCTGACAGTGCAACGCGGTGCTCAAAAAGGCAAGTGTTACCAACGCTTTGCTGAATCGACACGGTGGTGGCACCTACCCGTCGCTTTGCGCTGTACACCTTATCGCCTCCGGGAATGGCATGCATTTTTTTTTGTAAGCGCGAATGCCTTCCTTCATTTTCAAAGATAACTGGCAGATGGCGCTCGCGTCTAATGTGCCTCAATTCACTTGTTCGCCTCCGCTGCACACTCGAGGCACTCTAACGCAGCAGCACCTACAGAATACCTTTCACCGATTTTCTTGCGCAGAACATCAAATAAAACGCCCCGCCGTGGTGGTCTAGTGGCTAAGGTACTCGGCTGCTGACCCGCAGGTCGGGAGTTCGAATCCCGACTGCGGCGGCTGCATTTCCGATGGAGGCGGAAATGTTGTAGGCCCGTGTGCTCAGATTTGGGTGCACGTTAAATAACCTCAGGTGGTCAAAATTTCCGGAGCCCTCCACTACGGCGTCTCTCATAATCATATGGTGGTTTTGGGACGTTAAACCCCACATACCAACATCAAATAAATGTTTTGTTCACTCTCTCCAGACACAAGACTATAGTTTTTCGGCGGCATTTGCAATGTACCATGCAGATCCAGGGCCAATTTTTTGGTTACAAATCTACATACACTGATAATTCTGGCAATATACATTCAGCTGAAAGCTAGTGCTCATCCCATTGTGTCTTTCGTGTCTGTGTCTGGAAGCACTCGTACCATTTGAGGCACAAGCATGCTTTATTTGCGCTTAATATATGTTTGATGTAACAGTGGAAGGGATTCACTGTTGAATTACCTGTATTAACGTTAAAAGCATGCATATCTCTGCTCTTTGTTTCAAGTGCGAAGGACTTAAGTGTGTTTGGCATTCGTGTGCTATCGTCGTCGCTTGATGCAACGCTCCATGTGTGGTATATTGAGCGTGCACTCGTGACGAGAAGTCTTTTTAGTCTTGTTCTTTGAGCACCTTGATTATGATCACTTACCGTCGTGAGCAAAAAGTGTAGTGCGCTTGGCATAACGGTGGCAAAACCATGCATAAATATAGATAAAATGATAAAGCAAATGTGAAATGGTAAGAGAACAGGAAAATATATATTGAAAAATAGAGAGAGCAAGAAAGATGAACGAACTGATAAAGAGTGAAGAAATAAATAGCAATAAAGACAAAAAAAGAGGGGGAAATAAAGGGAAAAAATAAAATCAAAACAAAACAAAAAAGACTGCCCAGCTCCACAGTACCTTCAGGCTTGGCACCCCTAGTGCAAAGCTCTCTTAAGTTTTTTTTTTTTTATCATTAGTTACAATTCTATTATCAATAACATACTCCTCACCTGCAGTGGTAGTGTAGTGGCCATAGAGTAGCACTGCTGCGCTTGTAGTCATAACACGGCTGTGGGGAACCCACTGTTATAGGATCATAATGCAAAAACGTCTGCAGTTTGGTCTGGATTTGGAGCTGTTCGTCGCAATTGTGACCCGTATGTCTTCATTCAGCAAAAGCTATGCTAGTTTGCCCAAGATCTTTTACGTTCACCCTACTTGGCCAGTACTAATTGCAGAGATTCCCTACTACTACATGCCTCATAATCATAGCATAGTAGTACTGGCACATATTACCCTGGAAACCCATTTAATAGTGTATTTTTTTGTCCTGATTTTCAGAATGAGGCTGATCGTGTACTGATATACTTGACGCTCTACATTTCTGAGTGCTTGAAGAAACTCCAGAAGGCAAGTTTCACATGATTTGTTGTTGATGCTGCACTGCCAGCTGTTATCGCTCATGTCATTGCCGTTTTAAGAACTCGGCATAAGTGAACTTCAATATTACTGCACATGCCACTCTAGCAAGGTTTCACGTTCAGTCCCCGCCGGCAGCAAGTTACCTTTTCATCTGCCTTAATTTCTTCACATTTATGCCATACTTACTACTAATAATATCCCCTACACTTGGAATTAATGTTGGCTAGTTTTCACTAATATTGTGTCTAAAAAAGGAAAAAAAACGAGTTCCTAAAAATTTCCATCTTTCCTTCTAACTAACAAGTAAGCTTTTTTGGAGAACTGAGGCTGAAAAAAAAATGCATCAGTACATAAAAATATTGCGGAAAGCACATGTAAAATTTATGAAGCGATGATAATATGGTTTGTTGTGATGCCCAATGATGCTGCAGGGTGTTCTTAATTAATCCACAAATCATGCAGCAAGTGTGTGAAATCAGGCAGCATGTTTCACAAATTTTTATGTTGTAACATAGTTGGCCTGAAATTTCAGCCATTGAACTGTTCCTCACTATTGAATAAATGTAGCAGACATATTCTAAAGCACTTAAACATTTTGTGCTTGAAAGGAACAAAGAAATAAGACTTGCAAAGATACACATAGTTGGTAAAATCTGTACACATGCTCATAAACAGGCACTGAAAAAATTTCGTACATGCCTACAAGCTTTCTAGAACCTTATACTGATTCTTACACTGCAGTAAAATCCCAACTAGTTAGAACATTTTTGCGGTGGTTGTACGAGCACCAATTAAACATAGCTCTTGTTTTTTTCTTTGTGCACAGTTTAGGGCAGCACTTCTGCAGAAAGAATAGAGAGACAGTCACTGACTGATTTTTTATACATTGATTTCTTTTTTTCTGCACATCAGTTTTACGGGCTTGTTCCCACGACAACTTCACCTAGTGATAAAACAAATGTGCACAGCTTACCGACGTATCAACTGCGGTTACATGAATATTCAGTGAACATTTTACATAATAATTCTGCTTGTTAAAGTGTGACTTTTCCTCCTGGTAGTGGTAAACAGGGTTCAGAGCAAGCCTCAAGGTCGAGATGGTCTTCTAACTTAGAAATCTCACTTAACTTTATGCTCATGAAAAAATTGCATGCCACTCTGTTTTAATAAGTTCAAAAGGGTTGAAGTGCACCAGCTGCATCCCCTCCTCCCCCTGCAATGTGCTGTCTCTCTTTGCTGTCGTTTCACACTTAGTTCTAGCTCTAAAAAAAACCACCCAGTCTCGTTTCTAACCTCGCATGTTTTTTACATAACAGTGCTCAAACAAAAACCAAGGTATCCAGGACATGAAGGCACTCGCCATCTCCAAGTTTGACATTCCTGGAGAAGCAGGATTCCCTTTAAATCCAGTCTATGCAAAGCCTTCGTCTCCAGCTGAAGCGGGTAAGGCCATGTCTTGCTGAGGCATTCATTGTTGAGCCTGTGCTTTATATTTCTGTTTAGTTCCTTGCGTACTTTCGGCGTGCTAGTTGTGTCTACCGTACTTCCACTGTTGCAGCTGTAGGCATGGGATGACATTTCAGTTTCACATTGTTTGTGTGCACAACTGAGTAAGACATCATTGGTGCCAAGCTTCCTACATGGTGCCTGTGTTATCTGATTTACCGTGCTTCATTTTAATTCCTGGCATGAGCTGAGACAAGCTTCATACATGCTCAATATTTTACTGATTATCTTATTTCATTACACTATCGGCAAAATTAGAGAAGAATGGCTCATTTCATTTCAGAGACAATGCGGGCTTACCTTACACAGCTGCGGCAAGAATGTGGGCAACGTCTGTGTGACAAGGTTTTTGATAGTGAGACTGGGAAGCCAAGCAAGGTGAGTGAATTAAGCACTCTACAGCGAGACTTGTGAGATCACGGCGACAGCTGATTGTGGGGCTGTAGTTATCCACCGCTGGCATCAATAACCACTATTGCACTAAATAAGACGAAAATTTCTAAGATGTTATGGGATTCAAACCTGGGCGCTCTGTGTGACTGTTCAGTATTCTACCACAGAGCCATGCCTATGCTTTAAACTCGTTCGAAAAAAAGACTAATGTAGGCTTCATCTTAGGCAGGGAATCTTGTTAGCATGTGCAATGTAGCATGGTAGAAAAGTGAAAAAACTGGTTGTCACACAATGGGAATTGAGCAACGAGTGGTTTGTTAAAATGTTCTGACTAGGAGTGTGTGAATATTCGAGTTTTGAATTCGAATGAAATTAATACATAATCAAATAATTTGACAGGAGAAATGTCTCAAATGTGACAGCTTAGTCAGAGTAAAGTGGCTAAAAGAAACACTAATAATGTTGCAGTAGGTTTTCGTTAAATCTTTCACCAATATTTTGGTTCGGGACCAAGCTCGTGTATACTTTTAAACGAGATTGTCATTTCCACGCATCACTGCTCCTGCAAAGAAGGCCAAGAGATAGACTGGGACATTGTTGAACTGCTAACGTAGAAAAATAAATAACCCGTACACTGTGCTCATACCTTATAGTCAAGAGGTTAAAAAGTACTTAGTGAGCCGCTGATCCCAAGAAAGGATGATCCCTTGAAATATTGAAAAGAGCATGGAGCTGCACTTTATCCAGGTATCGCCATAGCCGCTTTGCAGTACCTTCTCATCCCTGCTACTAAGGCGACCAGTGGGTGCATGTTTTCAACTGCAGTAAACACCAGTACATCATGGCAAGCAATCGTGAAGCCAGGTCATGTGGAACAGTTCATGTGGTCGGTAGTAGTCATTCACCACATCATGTGCTCGAGGACACAGCACATTTAATTTGTTTGTTCTTTCAATTTTCAATGAAATCTGTTGTATTAGATATTCAGTTCGAAATTCAATATTTTTTACCACTATTCGGCTAGATTTAAATTCAATTTGTGGGGAAATTTTGCTATTCACACTCCCCTACTTCTGACCCGTGACAATAGACTGCCATAATTCATCATCAGCCGCAGGTAAAAGTGCACATAATGCCTTACAGATTTGTAGCGGGCACCAAGCTTTATGTGACGTAGGGTGGTAGGAGAGTAACAAGCAGCTGTCACACAATAAGAATTGAACGAGCGGGTCGTTGAATGCTTCCAACCCATTACAAAGGGCTTAGCTAGAATTCTTTGTCATCAGCCGCTGCACAAACGAAGTGCACATAATACCTTACAGATGTGCTTACCATGTTTCTCTGCACAACAAATAATAGTAAAGGGATGATTCATGGCCTAGTGGGTACCTTGCCTATGTGCTTGTATTAAATGCCCTGGGAGAGTCTGCAACAGGCTCCAGAAAGGGCACTGTTCCAGGTTTCACTGTGACGATGCTTTGTGTTACACGCTGGCCTGGTGATTTTTGTTCCGAGATATTGAGAATTGCGTGCATGAAATTCTTCATGAATTCAGAGGTGATATCTTGTAAACGTACCTTTTGATTTATAGGACACCTTCTGATCTTTTTGCTGTAAACATATGTCAACTTATGTCCATGTTTGAGCCTTGCCTTGGAGTTGAATGCCTTGCTTTGTGATCAAAACATAACAAAAGAGGGGACATTTGTACAACAGCATGTATTAAAAATGACTTGTATATATAGTAATTATTCACCTTAAACGTTCATATTTCTGCTGTAGTGTGTGTGCATTGACAAAAAAATAATTCGTAGGATAATGCAGCTGTCGTGCAAAATGTTGGATTGAAGGAACTCTGAAACTGTTGAAACACTCCGAACTCTCCCCTCCGGCTACATGGAGCAGTCACTCTGCAATTTACAGTGCACCAGTAGACGATCGTAGAAGGCAAAACCTAGTTCAAGAGAAAAAGCGCAGCTTAGGAGGAGGGCAACCTGTAATTGCTATTGTCATCCTTGATAAAAGGTGTTTTACTTAAATTCAGGTGCAAATTATTTACACCAGCTGTAGCCTTAATCGCTCGCATAACTTCAGAAAGCCATATTAGGGACTACTGTTTCACAATGCTTGTATGTATCGGCTTTCATGAATGAACTGTCTGTATCATCTGTAGCTTGTATCTCTTCATAGTGCTTTGTCTTTGGTCGCACTGTGACTTCATAAAAAAGAATTTATGATATTGATAATAGTGAGTTTGAGTTATGCTGCTGGTAGTTTATTTCCACAGTCAAATTTATTAAATCAAGCTTAAAGTTTTTTTAAAGGTATTCTTTTTATCTTTACAGTGGTGGCTGTGTTTTGCAAAGAGGAAATTCATGGACAAGAGTCTGTCTGGGTTTGGTCATACTTATCAATGACAGGCATAGCACGTACTGTGACACCTTGCCTTTTTATGCAAGTGCCAACACTTCTGCAAAATGTAGATTCAGTGAGTGATCGAGCACTACATTTTAATCAGTCTCCATGAAATAAATTAAAACCAAACATGCCGGCAATTGCTTTTTTCTTTAATATTGAGAAGGTTCTGGCATACAGTTATGAATTGGTGTTGCTTGTGTGCATCACTACCTGTACGTTTCACTTTCTTGATTTGCTGATGCCTGTGTACATTGTTTTTTACCATTTAGTTGAAAATGTTTGCATTTGCCTGAAACACTAAAAAAATGTTATTTCTTAGTTTGAATTTCAGCAGCATCTTTTGTTTTTTAATACCTAAAATTTTTTTGGATACCTAAATAACTGAAAAGAAAAAGTATTTGTGCACTTTTTCTTTGTGATTTTTCACCTTCCACAGTGACAAATTTTTAATAGCTATGATGCTTGAGATGGTGTCTGTCAACATAATAAAATTTTCTCAACTTAAATTTGCACATACCTTCAGGGAAGCATCAGAAGAAACATTGACATTTTGCAGTGTGTGCAAAAGCAATGCAACACTTTGATGTGTCAGGTCACATTAGTTAAAATAACAGTGGTGTATTATAATAAAGCCAAAAAGCTTTCTGACTGCTTATTTTCATGTGACCCATAAACTAATCAAGTTGCTGTCATGGTGGCTTACGATAGATTGCTGGTGCTGACCTTCTATATATATACATACACATAAAGTAAAGCTGTCTTAGTCTACCCGGTGCCAACATTGTAGTGGGTGTCACACCTGGAGAAGCTAGTGGATAGACTGAGCACCAGGGTAAAGAAGGAGCTTTATAAGAGAGAGAGGAAAGTTTTACATTATCAACAATAAAGATAATGTGTGACTGAAGGTGGTACAAAGAACCTTGTGGCTGTACAGTGCGGAAAACTGGACCGAGAGCACAGAGCTATGTCATACAGGCAGCACTGTGTCCTTTATGTCCTTTGTTCCGTTCTGCGCATTGTTCTGCCACAATGTTCATGAACCAAACAGCTTACCTAAGAACACTTGTGGAGTATAAGAGTTGAGGCTGTAGTGGAACATTACTAGCATGGCTGTGCTTGTCATGCCTAGCAGGAGTGCTTGCAATGCTGCATCTGTTGCAGTGCAATCGTGACAGTAATACGTGTTTTGGGCAGATGAAATGGGCCAAAATGGCACTGTAATGCTACCATAGCATTTCGGTGCGGCTGTGAATTAGTATATTGTTGTGCAGGAATCGTATGGCTTAACCTGAAGAACAAAGAAATCCTTCGCTAGAACTTTATGAAACATAGGAGCAAAGTGTAATGCATAACAAAAAGGTGACAGGTTCACCGTCTGTTTTCATGACATGCAACTTGTGGGATCTCGAAATGACGAGCGCCACACTCTTGGAGTGTACGGAGACAGTAGGCACGGTTGAACCAAACCAAGCCAAACACATTTATTTTACTACTTTGAGAATGACGACATCGTCAGCCGAACAACTAAACATCACTCATGATCAACACCCAAAACGACCTTACATGCTATTATACAACACTCAACTATATGATAAACAAGGCAGGGTTGCTAACGCCCGACTCACCACAAGGGCCCCCCCGGCAGATGGCCCGCGGTGCCGTGCACCGGGGTCCCACTGCAAGAGACAACCGTTCGCGCTAAACGCCACCAGATTAAGAAACTCGTTCAATTCTCTCCTGCTGCCACCAGGACCCGCTGCCAGGGGTCACCGCCGGTGCTACCAATTTAATCATGATGATGATAGCAGTGATCAACGCTCGTGAACACAACGCCACCCACTGCTCAACAGCCGTGACTCCAAAACACGGCCTCTGCGCGAGACACGTGTGCCACGCGGCACAAGCAACCCCACAGGGGATATCGAGACCCCCACATTCCCTCAACCTTAATTCAAACTATATCCCTAAAAGAAGGAAACCGCTACACTAGCTCTAACAAAACATGACAACCCATGTCCCTACATAATCTCCGTGCACCACGACACCGCGCCGGTCGACACTGCAGCACTGTCCGGCTCGACGACTTGACCTCAGTACAGGTCCCGTAACAGCAACGTTGCCGTCGGCGCAACAAACAGTCACTCGCGCCGACACGATCTTTCAGTTGTGACCAGCACTCGCGAGAACACCGGACTGCAGGCAGTTACGCAGGTCCCAGGCATGTCCATCGCCCGACCTCATGACCACATTCCTGGCCAGCAACGCTGACGATGTGCAGGAGACAGCAAGCCGTGGGTTACATCACTCCCGCTGCGTACTTTCAAAACACTCGAAAGAACAAGGCAGTAGGCCAAAGGGAAGGGAGCTTCGGGCTTTTCGCCCACGTGGTACGATGGTCAGTACTGCTACTTAATACATCGGCGGCAGCCGAGACGGCCATCAAAATTAAACAAAAATCACTTGTCCTAACTCGTGCATCGCAAGATAAAAAAAAAAAAGTGAGAGAAGCAGAGCGCAACACCTCAACGCCACGATCTACCTAGTTGTGCGACAGGCGGCTCCGCAGAGCCTTAGGCCTACGCTCTGTTCCAGAAGTTCCGTGCAGCAGAGCCAAAGCTACACAACCCTCGAACGCAGGTTGTTGCGAAGCGAGATGTAGTGCCCCATATACCGTAGCCCGTTGTTTGTCCTCGTTATTTTTGCAAGCGGTCTCGTCGGAGGATTTTTACTTGAAGGCTTCTCTGCGGGCTGTAGTTGATTTTTATGACAATATTGTCGCATTTTCTGTCGAAAACAATTTTTGTAGCACCATGATACTGAAAAAAGAGTTCTTGCTTGTACGTGTTATAACCTGCAAATGACGAAAAAATTAATGCTGTTGTGGCTCGTATGTGTCATGTTTTTACTTCTAAAGTACGAAGCAATGGTACCACACTGTCTAAACATTTATGAGTAGTCCACACAGCCCGAGCGTCTACAGCGCGGCGGAGGACCCAATCTTGGGTTGTGATTAGTCCGCGGTGGCAGATTTGGTCACTCCTGTCAAAATGGCGGCGCTTGGTTCACCTGTGCGATATCGTTCCCAGATTAGCTTTTACGACAAGGGAGCGAAGCAAATGGCTCTAAATGTGTTCGGGACACTGTGATAGGAGGGCGGCAGAAATGCAAGCATGAGCTCTCTCATTAAGAGAATGGCTGTGTTCACCAACATCAGCGAACATGCGCTGTACAAGTGGATAGCGGAGCACGATAAGCACGGCGAGGTACCGGGAATAGAGCCATCATTTGGTATTGAACACGAGCGGCACTTTGCATGCCCATAGGCATGCGTTACGAAATCTGATGAAGGATGGTGCTTTCATATTCAATTTGGCTAGTGCGGCGCTTTCCACCGTAACATGAGCCACTGAACCCTATCCTTCAAATGTCTACGTGCAAGTATCTCGAAGACGCGCGCTTTTACGGTGCTGAAAAGAATATTTAACCGCTTTCACAATTACGACTCATCTCGCTGCGCAGTTGCGCAGTGTTCCAAGACGCTCTGGCCGCTTTCGCTGCAGTGCACGTCGCTAGTGGACCACAGGGTGCGGAAGGATACACTTAGATGTGCTCGCCCTCCTGATTGGTTGAGAAGGCCTGTCGCTTCCACAGTGCTGCATGGAGCTTCTGGAAGAGAGTATAATGAGTCTCTCAACTACAACCGGCATCGACCCAGCACCCAGCCTAGGCGTAGAAGAGGCAGCCGCAAGGAGACATCAAGACATCAACTACGTAAGGTGGCCCTATTGCTCGCTGCACACAGCAGCTTACCGAGCGATCGGCGTCCACCGTCCCAGACAGTGTCAGGACGCTCCGGCGTTGAGCTGCAATACCAGACAGCAACGACGCCCTGCTCCCTGAGCCTGAAAGAAATAGAATAAGCTATTTACAGAAAATCGGACAAACCACGAGGCGTCTGTACTAACTTCCTTCGGGCCTGGCCTACAATCCACATGCTCTAAGCTTTGCTCACCCCAGTATGCAGTCCGCATGGCTCTTGTCCCAGCAGAGCAACGTTCTTGAAAACCAAGTACTACAAAAAACCACTTGCGAACAAAAAAAAAAAAAACAACGTGCTGACAAGTTCAAACACACCACAAAAATCTACCTTTTCGCTCTCAACAAAGCACACGCCGACGCTAGCAAAGAAGTCCCCCTAGGCCTACTCTACCCCAGCTCTAACAAAAGCTTGTACCAAACCGCGACCACTGTCGTTCGATGCTCCAAAAGCTCCGCGTTGGGCAGGCAGTGTGGGACCTCGAAATGGCGAGCATCACGCTCTTGGAGTGAATAGATACAGTAGGCCCAGTCGTACCAAATTAAGCCAAACACCTTTATTTTACTACTTTCAGAACGACGACATCGTCAGCCGTAAAACTATACATCACTCGTGATCAACACGCCAAACAACCGTACACAATATTACATGACACTCAACTACATGACAAACAAGGCGGTGTCGCCAACGCCCGACTCACCACAAGGGCACCCGGCAGACGGCCTGCGGTGCCGTGCACTGGGATCCCACTGCGCGAGACAGCCGTTCGCGCCAAACGCCACTAGAGAAAGAGACTCGCTCAATTCTCTCCTGCCGCCACCAAAGCCCGCTGCCAGGGGTCACCACCGGCACTACCAATCTAACCATGATGACGATAGCGGTGATCAACGTTCGCGAACACGCCACCCACTGCTCAACAGCCATAACTCCGAAACACGCCATCTGCGCGAGACACGTGTGCCATGCGGCGCGAACAACCCTGCAGGGGGTGTCAGCACCTCCACAATCTGGCTTGGCTTTTTTTTTTTTCTTCAGCACAAAGCATTTTGATTAAAGACCAGGAGGCTCCATAACAAAGTTTTCATGAAGGGAAGGAGAACTAGTTCTATTGTCAAAGTTTGATATACTAAATCGTCAAGTGGGCCTCACTGCTGACATTGCTACCATATCATATGCTTGCTCCTTGTGGGGTACTATTATGCCCTTCACAAAAGGCCCTCCACTATAATTGGACGATTAAAAGCAAACGAGTATGGCACAGCGATCACTTGGGAGGAGATCGAGTCTGCAAAGCTTGCAATACGTGCAAGATTTAAAAACGGTCACAATTTCAAACAGAAGTGGGCATGCCCTCTCGAGCAAGCCACTGAATAGTTAGTCACACACACACGTGGCCTACACTGGAGGCATTCCCTGAAACATCGCTGTCTATAAATAGTCCGAAGCATTGTGCACAGTTTCGTCACTTGAGAAACAAAAAAAAAAAGTGTGTGTTGTGTGTGTGTGTGTGTGTGTGTGTGTGTATTGAGCGAGTTCGTCGGGCAAGCTGTTTTATTCTGCCTCTTCTTCCTTGCTGTCCAGCCCATGGCCCACAACTGCCGCGCCACTCTTCATTACAATCGGCCACACTGCGGACCTGAAAAAGAAAAAAAAAAAAGAAATTACAGTTCATTGCACCTGCAGCG